GTTTCCTCCAGGTGCTCTGACATGTTCTCCCTGTGTCAGTGTGGGTTTCCTCCAGGTGCTCTGACATGTTCTCCCTGTGTCAGTGTGGGTTTCCTCCAGGTGCTCTGACATGTTCTCCCTGTGTCAGCGTGGGTTTCCTCCAGGTGCTCCAGCTTCCTCCCACAGTCCAAAGACATGCAGGTTAATTGGTGACTCTAAATTGTCCGTAGGTGTGAATGTGAGTGTGAATGGTTGTCTGTCTCTATGTGTCAGCCCTGTGATAGTCGGGCGACCTGTCCAGGGTGAACCCTGCCTCTCACCCAGTGCCAGCTGGGATAGGCTCCAGCCATGCTGTGTTGTTTTAATTTTCTTCAGACTCATGACAGTAGACAGGGGTGGAGGGGAAAAAGGGAGAATCACTGCACCAGCGGGGAAAACCCTGCTGTTCTATCTGTCATCATCTCGGCCAAAATGTTGGTGACATTCTCATGTAGAAAAATAATCATGCATGTCAACACAACGGGCAACACTGAGTTTAGGAAAAGGATCACGGTCATGTTCATATATCATGTACAGTAAGTTTATATCACAGTTATCGTGACAGGCCTGTGCAGCATGAATAATAAACTGCAGCCACTGATTCTGACTCCTGATGTTTGACTGTGCTTCAGTCTGTGATCCTGCTGCTTGGACCTGAATGTCTTTATTTTGTTTGTGCTATAGATAATGAGATGCTGTCCAACTTCAGCACGTACAGACACTCCTCTTTCCTTGGATATTACACACTCAGTTTCCGGTTTATTAGGAACACCTTACAGTCTGATACAACAGTCCTGCAGTGACTCCTGAAAGTTATAAATGTGTCTTTTTGATATCCTGCTCTCTAAACACACTACAGTAAAACATAAACCTCACAGTGCAGGTAACAAACTGTAAATTAAGGATGCGTGTACACCTGTAAATGCCTCTTGCTGTTAGTATACAAAGTTTGTCTCCTGCTCAGCTTCTTTTGTCTCAAACACCTACTAGCTGGCCGTACAAGTGCAGCACACACAGCTGACACAGCAGCGATGACCTGCCTCTAAACTCAGGTTGGGGGTTAAAGGTTGGTCCATAAAGATCGCCACTGCCTTGGCAAACTGGAGCCATGTGTACGTAAGGAGGGCTGCTGATAGGACACAGCAGATTTTCTGTCCTCACAGGAGACTGTCTTCTTTACTAGACGTCTGATAGGCATTTAACTCTGACCTCAAAGACCCTGAGCGACCACACTGAGAGATGCAAGTTCAAACGGTGGGGCAACAGTTTAATTTTTTAAGGTCACAAATGGTATGAGAGTTATCTGGACAAGCCTGTAATGACTTCATCATCAAAGCTGAGATAAGTCCATCAGAGGGTGAGTTATGTGACGGTCTGACTCTGGTTTTGGACCTGATCTGTTTGAGGGTTTGACCTTTTCCCTGCTCGGCTGACTGCGTCTCATCACTGCAGACGTTTAAAGCATCATTAAAACACACGTGTTGATGCCTCATAGTTTAGTCTTTTTGTCTCCATCAGTGGTGTGAAGTGCTCGTTGCAGTTTGATGTGACTTTACCTTTTGGTGCCGCAGGCGTCAGGGCAGGTGGGGCACTTCTCACAGGTGTCTCCAAAGGCTCCTGGCTCGGTGCACTGACAGCGGCCGCACATGCAGTTTCCTCGCCCGCTGCACATCTGCCCGTCGTCTGAGATGCAGGACGACGTCTCTGTAGAGCAGTTACAGTTGTCTCCGATGTAACCAGCATGGCATTTACACTCCCCACAGTGACATTCTCCGTGACCTGGGAGAGAAGAACAGAGCAGGTCAGCATAGTCATTCACTGGGACAGTTATAACATGATACCATCCAGGTACACTTAAAAACATAGAGGGATACAAGTGGGAACAACAGGGGCTGAAAAATGAAGCCAACGTACAAGTGCAAAAAACTGCAGTTCCTCTAATGTCCACTTGAAGCTGGTTCTGAGAGAGAGTCAATCCTCTTAGACCCCTATGTTAAAATGTCTAACTTTACAGCAGAAATAAACATGTTTATTAACATGCTAAAGTGCCTTCATGACATTCACAAATGGATGTCACAAAACTCCCTGCAGCTTAATCTCAAAAATATATTTCCAGGATCAGATCATTCCTTTCCAACAAACATCTGGGAACTGTTATTCATGCATTCATAACCAGTTGACTAGATTATTGTGATTCCTTGCTTTCTGGCATCAGTCAAAATTCCTTCTCATGCCTCCAGCTCATCCAAAACTGCTGCCAGAATCTTGACTCAGACTAGAGTGTGATGACCACATCACACCAATCCTGGCGTCCCTCCTCTGGTGACCTGCTGCTTTTAATATTGATTTTAAGATTTAACTGAGATTACTTACAGAGAGGCCTCACTCCAAGTTATATAACTGATCTTTTATTGCCCTATGTTCCTTCTCACACCTTGTGCCCTCTACACCCTGAGTAGGTGTAGGGTGTGGTTCAGGAAAGGCTCTCTGAGTCAGGTCCACCTCTCGCTCCTCCACAGCTCCACCCTCTTTTCCAAATATGGTCACTTCTGGCTCCAAAAATCCAAACTGCCAAAACTGAGGCTTCTAAAGGGGACTTCACAAACCAGTGGGTGACTTTGTCCATTATTTTTATGATCAAATACCTTCATATTCACACTTTGTGCAACTTCCCATAAAGAGAATTATAAATACACCACGGGATCACACCAGTGGCCAATCCAGAGCCAGCTGAGAGCAGACACATGCACAAAAACCAAAAAGGCAGAGTGCAAACTTTATTTAAATTACAGCCTGGCGGGCAGCACAGATTTGGCCCACAACAGGACACCGGGTGGCCCACCGACCATTTTCTAATTCACAAAATAAAGTGATTCAAGTCTGGAGTGCGAAAACAGCATCAACATAGAGCTTGTTTAGACTGGCCCCTGGCCTCCTGTCATTTTGCAAAAGTGGCCCCCTGCAAAGGCAAGCTGAGTATCCCTGCTGACGTCCTGTCTCTTCACCTGCACAAACCTCACCCAGTTACAAAATTAGCTCCGCTTTATTTTTCCCCTGTTGGGGAAACCATACACTCAGTGTCCTGACAAAACAGAATTTGTGCAACCTGCACAAACAGAATCCTTCAACATGATGAAGATGATAAAATACAAAGCCAATCTACTGATAAGTACCAGCTCATGACAGCTCACAACCACTAATGCCTACTACTGCGCAATGTGCTGAGGCAGAGTCAAGTACGACTCCCACCGTTACGTAATATGACACGTCTGATGTCTGATGCTAAAAAAGAGCCATTTTAGAAGCATTGCTTAGAATGGTTTAATTTCCTTTGAAATTCCGCCCTAATGTCTTTTTAAACATATAAAATCCTGCATTAATTTTTCATATGGCCATTTTTCAGCAAAGATTCAGTATGAATTTTGCAAAAACATTAATGTGCAAGTTGCTTTTTAAGGGTTTTAAAGGTTGGAATCAACATAACTAATTAATCTGTATGATGTTATAACAGATCCACTCTTCTGGTTTTAGTTTTTCCACCAGATTTTGGAGTCTGGCTGCAGAAATTTGCTTCATAAATCCTGAAGATGTTTGACGGAGTTGAGGTGAGGATTATGCACAGAACAGTCCTCCACATTAAACCATTTCTTTATGGAACTGTCTGTGTGCTCAGCTGTGCTGTCATGTTGAAAAAGAGCCGCCAGTAGCAAAGAGTTGTTTGAAAAAATCCAATTATGTGCTGCAGCATTAAGATTTATTTCAGCTGGAGCTGAGAATCTGAACCAAAACATGAAAAACAGGCCCAGACCTGAGGTACACACGGGCGTCCGGATACTTTTGGCCACATAAAGTATGACAAAATTTGACGAGAGGCAACAAGTGCTGTGAAGAAAAGTGCTGCCAGTGTCCAGATATCTGTGATCTGAAACAACATCAGTGTTCTCTGTCTGAACACAAACACACACACACACACACACACACACACACACAGAGTCAAGCTCAGTTTCTTCTTCCTGAGAGAACCATCTAACCTTCCAGGACAGCAGTGAACAGCTGGAGCAGCTGGAGCTTCACAGCGCCGAGCTAATGCACGTCCACACAGAGCAAACTGCCCCTTTGTGCCACACGCATTAACTTGTTATCTGCGCTGGGATAACACCAACAGAAGGCAACTCTTTGGGGGAAAGCTGCGTCCCATCAGGTCTTGTTGAAGCTCTGATTGGTCTCGGTCTTCTGTGTGAGCGCTCTCCCTGTGCAGACCAGAGCGATCCCTGATGGAGGGAGGACAGCAGCTGTAATCAGGGAAGCGTTACTTGACAAGCTTGTTTCACACTAGTTGTTCCAAGACCTTCCACAAAGACAGCATTCATTAGGCTGCTATCTCAGCTGGGTAAGGAGTGGACAGACAGGAGATGGGCGCACTTTATCAAGGACAGGCTGCAGGCGGATCTAATCAACAATTCATGGTCTGTATTAGAAGAAATGTGCGGAACAATAGCAGGAAGAAAACATCAGTACTGTGATGTGTTGGACATACGAGGGCAGCTGCTGGTCATTAGACCCTTAGAGGACGGCTGGTGATGATCCTGCAGAGGCAAACTGTTCTAACAGAAGTCCCAACTGGATCTGAGCTGCTGTAAAAAGTAACATGTGGCTTCGTTATGGAGCCCAGAGACCACCAAAGCCCTGTGAAAACCACAAAGTGTTTTGGGAACAATTCTCAATGTGGACATCAGGAATCATTTATTCAATTAATGCTTGACAAATTAATTAATTCTCTGGTTCCAGCTTCTTCATTGGGAGGATTTGCTGCTTTTCTTTGTGTGATGTGACAAGAAACCAAACACCTTCAGGTTTTGGACTGTCAACGATGGCTTTGTGAACTTGTGAAGGGAATTCTTATCTGAGTTCAAGTATCTTGGGGTGGTGGAGAAGGAGCCGTGCCAGAAGTCAAAGCTCTCAATTTACTGGTCCATCTACGTCCCAACCCTCACCTACGGTCATGAACTTTTGACATAAAGAATGAGGTCACAGATACAAGCAGCCAAAATGAGTTTCCTCCGATGGGAAGCTGAGATCAGCCTTAGAGATAGGAGGGAACTCGGAGTAGAGCCACTGCTGCTCCCATCAAAAGGTGCCAGTTGAGGAGGTTCAGGAATTTGATTCAGGACGTTTTCCAGGCACATCAAAACCAGTAGGAGGCCTCGGACAGACCCAGAACACACCAGAGGGATCTCATTTGGCCTGGGAACACCTCCAGATCCCCCAGGAGGAGTTGGAAAGTGTTCCTGGGGAGAGGGACGTCTGGATAACCTTGATAAGCGGCTGAAAATGGATGGATGATGAGAATCTTTCACCATTTTCTGACATCTTTTAGGACCAGTGGTTCCAAACCGGTCCAGCAACAGAGTCTAGATTTTTCCTTTTTCAAGTTTATTATATGGAGAGAATCGTACTTGGTTTGTCCGTGTTGTTGAGTTAGTCTGCAGTCTCTGACAAGTAGCTGTCCATTAGTCACTCACTCTGCAGCAAGACACAGCACCTCCAAATAAAGACTGTTTTTTTTACAAACATGTTCGTGAGTCACTTACGGTCCATTCAGAGTGGACCTGCGCCCCGCTTTTGGAACACGACCCACCAGGTGGGAAACACTGTTATAGACCATACAATTAAATAACTAGAATTAAACTAATTGTTAGTTGCAGCCAAGGGTCAACCTCCAGGGCTGAATAATTAAGACACCATGGAAAAAAACTGCAGTTCCTCTAATGTCCACTTGAGGGTGTCTCCGAGAGTGAGTCAGTCCCAACAGACGCCCCATATTAAAATGCTCAACTGCAGAAATAAACATGTTTACAGCCTGGTACAAAAAATAGTTTGTGTCTCTATAACTAATTTCAACATTCACGACAGATGTACGAGGGTAAAGTTTTATAGAACACACCTGTTTACATTTAATTGAAGCTTATAGATATGTATAACTCGGGGCACGGCCGCTGCGAATGACAGGTGGTGCTGTCCATTGACAAGTTGCTACAGCAGTGAAAACGCTGGTTAGTCTCATGCTGACAGGTCAGTCATGTGTTTGTCAAATCATAAACCTTTCAGAAAAATTAATTAATCAATCAACAATTATTTTTCCGATAACTGTGATTACATTTCCATTTCTGAACACTTCTAATAGAAACACAGTGAAAACAGAATTATGATGTGAGGTAGGAGTAAAGACTGTAAGGACTGAGGAGAAACTGGGTCACAAACTAATGAAATCACTGTTTGTCTGTGTAGGAGTGGCTCCCTCTCCTCCGGTCCAACATGCACTCATGACAGTCGGGGATCAGAACCATCAGATGGTGCTGCCACTTGACCTCAGACACAGAAGAACACAGGCTGTGATTAAACCCAGATTCTCAACGAGGTCACGGAGACTTCTCCAAATGAACAGGAAGCGTTCAGTTCAATCATGAACCCAGCGGTCAGGGTTGTGTAACAAACTGCCTGGAGTCACAGACGCGCTGTAAATTCTTCCTGGGTTTTTTTCATCCCCTCCTAATAATGCATTTTTGGTTCATTTTTAAAAGGTGGAAAAACTGAGACTGATCTAATTACCTCCTATTTTATAAGAGTCTGGTGCACCACTCCCAAACCTCAGCCGGTGGAGGCTGACATGATGAGTGGCATTTGGCTGAGTCATGGTACCAATCCTGGGAACGTGTCCTTAAATGACACTGCTGTTGTTCCTGCTTCTGCTCCTGCTTGGGCATTCAGACGGTGAGAAG